TTGACTTTTGTCTTTAATTGATTGAAAATTACAAAAAAAAAACTTAAAAAATAAAAAAAATCATCTACAAAGTTGCAAATAATACCTTACAGAAAAATTAATATCAATTACTCTCTCAGTTCAAAATATAAAACATTTTTAACTGAATTTCACCAGCCTGAAAGTAGTTACCTATTTTTCAACTAACCCATCTTTTTCATTTTACCACCCCTATAAACACCCTACAGTAATATAAAGTTGTATCAATAAGGGCATTTTTGAAAAAAAATGGTGATTACACCCTCGAAAAACTAAAAATGTCTTATATTTTTTAATATCTTAACTCCTCAAAAAATGCTTTAATCTTTTTTAATGGAGGGAGTAAATCTAAAAATATTGGTTGGTCAAATTATATTTTTGGCTTTTTAAGTAGGTAAGAATTAAGATTTGTTTTGCTCTATTTTTAATATGTACTTAAAGGACTTAATTTACATTAATTTTCTTATAGGATACCATGTTATATTTAATGGGTCATTTTTTTTATAATTTTTTGAAATATTTTTTGTAATTTTTTACAATCAACTAAATGTTAAAGTTAACTTTTTTTTTGACATCATTTTTAAATTTTGAAAGACAAAATTATTACATGTAAGTTAGGACATGAGACGTTACTGATCAAATAATTAAGAGACAAAATATCTGCTAACTCGAGATGCTAATGTTTTTTAGGATCAAAACTGATACGAATAATAGGTTCTCAAATAGTGATGGACCAAAAAAAAAAAATTAATCAATGGAGCATAATTTATACTTAAAATAAATATTAATATGTTTATAAAATAAATAATTTTAAATATCTATTAAATTATATTAATGGAATATGTTAATAATAAAAATTAATATTAAAAATACATAAAACGTAAACTATAATAACATAAAATGCTCTCTTTATATAAATATTTTTCATATATACTAGAATCATGTTTTTTAATTTACATTAAAAAAATTGATACATCTCTTTTATATGGTAAAGCATTTTTGTGATAAAATTTTTCATAAATAATTCTTTTACTAAATTTTTTATTTTCTATTTTAAAACTATTTCTATTTAAGTTTACAACACACGCAATTTTAAATAATGGGATAAGTCAAGTTTCATTTCCTTCCACTGCCACGCAAGCAATGCCAATCACCGCTTGCCACATCATACAAAGTTACACGAGGAGGATGACAAACAAGGAACTCGTTGAAATATTAACGTCAAGGATTAAAATTTTCAAATTTAGTATTAATTCTATTTAAAAAAATCTTAATTTAATAGTAATTATTTTTTTTTTATGAGTTTACGGGTCATTACTTTTATTTTTCCCTTCTTTTTGGGGGCAGAATGTAATATGAAATATAGTGCTTCCCTAGTTGAAGTCCTCACATTTTGGATAGATAGGATATTAGTAACTATAAATTGGTAAAAATATATAAAACTTCTAAATTTTTATGCCATTGCACAATTTTTCTAGTTTTAAAATTTTAAAATTAACTTTTTTAATTTTTTATTTTCTTTTACTGTATATTTTCTTATTATTTTTTTATTATATTATTAATAAAAATTATCATGTTATATTTAAAAAAGACACATAACATTAAACTTACATGGCATGTGATATAAGCTAATAATAATAGAAAAATATAGACAAAATTTTTGTAAAACTACTATTAGTTTACATTAGATGCTATATAAGTTAATATATGTCTTTTTTTTTAATATAATATGACAACTTTTATTAGTAAGAATTAAAAAAAAATAACAATATGAAAACATATGGTAAAAATAAAATGCTAAGAAGGTTAATTTTAATTAGAGGATTTTAACAACTGTTTTAAATTTCAGAGAAGTTTTGAATACATATAATTTTATTTTCTTTTTCCACAAAATATAAATTTAATTAAGAAATATTATTTAGAATTCTTACAAATCATAATGATATTAACATATTTAATTTTAAAGTAAAGAGGCGTCTTATTAAGTAACTAAGATAAATAAAACAGTAGATGGCATATTTAGTATCTTACTCTATAATATTTTTTATAAATTGTAAATATTACATTATGATTATAATTTATAATTAATATTAATTCTTATTTGTTACGATGTTACCCACCGAAACAAATCTTTTCTCGCCAAAGCCTTTATTATTGGTTGGATCTCAAATTGTTCATCGTCGTCTGCGGGGAGCAGACGGCCTGTCATCTTTCGCCAAACGACTGCCTAATCGCATCCCCACCCCCCGAGGACGCCCAACATTCCCACATTCTGAGAGTAAGAAATTTCCATTGTTCCATTTGTTTTTCTTCATCTTTCTTCATTCATGGAGGTGCCGAGTTCGTGGGACGCACTTCGCAAACAGGTTCAATCTTCTCTCTTCGAATTCTGTATTATTTTTTTTCTTGCATTTAAGTTAGACAAATGGCTTGAATTTCTGCAATTTGGAGACCCCGGGCGTGCAATTTCCGTTCGTAAGATTCTTTCATGTTGTCGGTGATTGAATTCGCGAGATCAGCTTGTACACGATGACTTGGTCTGGTTTGTAGAATTTTGTTTTCCAATAGAGGAAAGCTATTTCTGGGTGCCGAGGGAAGCTTCCGTTAATGAATTGGACTCACTAAGTCTTATTCTTGCGGCAGATCAATGCATGTTTTATAACAAGAAGTCTTCTTTCTTTCTCTGGTTTATGTTCTGTTTTATATTTCATGATCGGACGAATCATGAAGACTTGAAACGCGTCGGGCTATTTTGTTCCTATATTTTTGGTTCATGATTTGCTAACTGTCGGTTTTTATCGGATTTAGGACAGACAAATTAGAAGGATGCCTAATTTGCTTAGGGATTTGATTCTCTTGATGGTGATCTTGGTATTGATTGAATTATTTAGATACCCTATTAAGTTTCCTTGAAGCCTGCCAGTGGCAATAAATATATATATATATATATTTTTGGGAATTTGATGTTTTCAAACATCCTAAAAGGGTTCTTGCGTTGATTTTGAAAGGAGAATTTGATGCGGTTACCTTGTTTATGCATTTTATGCATTTTCAAATAGATGATTGATTACAGCAATGTGTCTCTGGTCTTTTGCAGGCGAGAAAACTCGAAGCTCAGTTGGATGAGCAAATGAATTCTTATCGTAAATTGGTTTCTGCTAAAGCTTCTTCAAAAGTTGATAATGCGGAGAGTGATATGGAGTCGTGGATTGAGCGGCTACTAAAACAACTCCAACAAGTGAACTCACAGATGCAAGCCTGGGTATCATCTGGTGGCACAGAAATGGTTTCTCATACCTTGACCAGGCACCAAGAAATTCTTCAAGATCTCACCCAGGTAAGCTATAGTGTTAGTTTGTGTGCAGTTATCCTTGTATGGTGTTTTGAATTTGAACTGTTCCAGTGAAGTAGGCTTGTAAACATGGGATAGATATTTGATATGCACCCTGGTGCAAAGGTCTCATTCCTCCAAGTGGAATGGATTGAAATTAAAAGGTAAATTTAAATTCAGTGTCTCAGGCTTAGGGTAATAAACGATCTAACTTTTGAAAAATGAATTTCGAAGTGATTTTGTTTCCTACAATCAAACATACAACAAGTGGGTGGTTATTTCATGCAAGAATCTTAATCTTTTGATCAGTGAAATAAATATTCAGGTCAACCAATGCTCAGTGCTGAGTGTCCATTCTTTTTGAGCCTCTGTTTAATTTTGTTTTTGTTTTTATTTTGTTTTGTTTTGTTTTGTTTGTTTTTTTGTTTTTTTTTTTTTTTTGCTCGGGTGTTATGATAAAGGATAGGTGAAATTAATTTTGTACCTTACTATTTATTAAATTAATTTTCATAAATTTTTCGTTTTCAACCATATGAAAATTTTTAACTGGTGTTAGACCTGCTGCATACCAACCTGTTGTTAGATATTTTTTAACTGCAGGAGTTTTATCGTCTCCGATCTAGCCTCAGAGCTAAGCAGGAGCACGCTTCACTCCTTGAGGATTTTAAAGAGTTTGATAGGACAAGATTGGACTTGGAAGAGGGTGGAGGTTCTGCAGAGCAAGCACTACTAAAGGAGCATGCTTCTATCAGCAGAAGTACAGGACAGGTCTGTCATATGAAACAGTTACTTGGATTTTCTGATATTAGCCGTTATCTTAATTTTTTTCATCAGTTCTTCTCAGTGGAATTCTTTAATTTTGTATAATATGTGATTCTTGCTTTTGGCCTGAGTATTGGCGAATCTGTTTGCTTAGGAAGTTGGTCTAGGGATTTAACACAATTACTCAAACCACAGATTTGATCTTGCAAGATTGTAGGGGTTTTGATGAGAATTAAGAAGAAATTTGTTTCAGTCCCAGCATGCTCAAAAAGAAAGAAAGAAAGGTAATCTGATTCTTTGTGTGATCAGATACTGAAAGTTTTTATGAGAAGAGATGGTTTATAGTAAGGTTTTTGCTTGAAATTTCATTTGTAAGTAATGGCAAGTAATCTTGCTGCTTATAGAATTATAGGAAGTTAAAAAAAAAAAAAAAATCTTGTAAGGACTAAGGAGGAACAGCTGCTTGTAGGCATGTTTGCTGGTTTGACAAATAGGGAAAATTCAGTTTTGGACAATACTGGCAGTGAAATTAAACTCTATCAACACTGTATGTTCTTTTCCCCTTCAATGAACAAAAGGGAAAAATGAATGCCAGTGTATCTATAGTGAAGGGGAAAACAGTAACCTAGCCTTTTAAGATTTTTGTGGAGATTGAGCTAGTAACTTTAACGTCAGTCATCTTGAAGAAATAGTAGGGCCCTTTCTTCTGTGTGCTAGTATGGATGTTTAAAATGTTTTTCCAGGGTCGTATGGAAATGCTGTCACATGAATTCTCAGGGGGGCCCGATATTTCTGGTATCTTCAACTTGTACTGTCTTGTTTTGAATTCTTCTGCTTATCCCTGTGCTGCAGATGGACAATGTTATTTCACAAGCACAAGCCACACTTGGTGCACTTGTCACCCAACGTTCGACTTTTGGTGGAATCAATTCAAAGCTCAGTAATGTCAGCAGTCGCCTTCCAACGGTATGCCTTATAGATATAGTTTTTGGTGTTTGAATCATTTTGAAATTCTCTCTTCTGATGCCTTTTACCTAGGCAAAGAAAGAATCTATGAAGCGCAAATGCTTAAAAAACTAAACTGTCATTATGAACAACCCTGTCAGATACTTGCATTAGGCATAACGTCTAAGTCTTTGATTTTGTTGTGTTTGCAATTTGTGCCCCATATCCATGTTTTTTACGCTGTTTGATGTGCCTGTCACACTGATGTTTCAGGTAAATACCATTCTGTCGGCGATAAAGCGAAAGAAGTCAATGGATACGATCATACTTTCCCTTGTTGCATCAGTATGCACATTCCTCATTTTCATATACTGGTTGACCAAATGAGAGTGTTCTGTTCTTTTGGTGGCTGCTTGTGTTGTAACTGTTGAAAATTCAGCTGATTGCTTGGGATCAATCGTTTGTATTATCTTTTTTTGGTCTTTTTTTTTTTTTGGTTGTTTTAGTACTTAGTGGTGTGTTGTTCATCAACCCTGTAGCTGAAAGTGTAATGTTTTTGTAGAGATGGAAGGGTTACTCATGCCAGAAGTTTCACAAAGATATAAAAATTTGTTAGTATTCTTTAAAATATCTTCATGGTCCCTTGTTGAATCAAATATTTATCACTAAATCAAGAGTTATTATACCTTGCTTAGAAAGTAAGAAACGCGTCAATTTTTCATTACACAAAATTGAAGATATGTAATATCTACAAATATTGATACCAAGTTAAACTTGGTTAGAACATTAAAATAAATTATTGTTTTTTTAATTTCTCCTTTTGCCTCTAATTATAAGATAATTTATACAATATAAATAACAAGAAAATGGTTTAGTTGATGTCTAAATTTTTCTTTCCAGTTTTGTTCTCAAATAAAGATATAAAAAATATAAAAAATATATAAATTTATTATTGAGTAGGTGTGGCATAGATGGTAGCATTTTGGACTCTTTAATATCATTCTAAGGTTTTAGTTTTGAAGATGAGCATGGAAAAGTATATCTTGAAAAGGAACAATTTCTTAAATAACTCTCTAATTTTTTAAGGCATTAATCTTGCGGTTGTGATTGTGAAGATATTTTGGATAACAAATATATATATATTACATCTTTCCAATTTTGCTTCTTTATTAAGAATCTGGTTATGTCATGTTATCATTTTTTTCAGGAGCATTCTAGGGGGAAAATATTAAGTACTCTTAAAACTTTGTAAAGTATCTTACAATTAAGGAGACCACTATCCTAAAAATCGTGACTTAAAATTAGGGATGAGAATTGGAGAGAGTATATAATACATTGAGGTGTATATATAATATCTATTATATTTATACCCGTCATTCTTACATCATAATGAAGGTGGCCACTTCTAATCATTCTATAGCATGTGGGTTATGTTTAAAAGTGGCTATTCAATAAAAAATAAAAATAAAAAGTGGCCAGTCAACCGTACATTTTATATTGGGAAAATGACAACAAATCCCTCTGAATTATATAAATAATAAGTTGATACATCAAATGTCATAATATCAATAAAATTCTTAGAAACCTCTTTACTTGTCAATAAATTTTTAGGAAAAAATTATTTTACTCTGTTGACAAATTATAATTTCCTATTTAATTCTTGTTATTTTTGAAAAAAAATTGTGATTATTTAAACAAAAATTATAAATGGTGTTTGTTATTTTAAAAAACTTATTTTTAATAATAGAAGTTACACTTAATAAATTATGATTTTTTGTTAAATTTTTGTGATTTATAGAACAAAATTTATAATTGAAGCTTATTTTTTAATAACAGAAATTACATTTGATAAATTATAATTTTTTATTTATTTTTTGTGATTTACAGAAAAAAAAGTTGTAATTTTTTTAAATAAAAGTTGTGATTGGCTCTTATTATTTTCAATAAGGGTAAAATAATTTTTTTCCTAAAAAGGTTAATAACATAGAAGTCCCTAGAAACTTTATTGCTATTATAGCATTTCGAAAGATCCAATTGTCATTTACATAATTTGAAGGTTCATTGCTATTATAGCATTTTAAGAGATCAAATTATTATTTACATAATTTAAAAAGATTTTATTATCATTTTTTTATATTCACAAAATTGAGTAGATAATGTCTTTAATCTTCCTTTTATTTTTATTTAAAAACTCTACCTATTGCTTCTTAATATACGGTCTTCTATAAAGTTTAATTTATGATTCATCTTCAAAAAAAAATACTCGTCTTTTCATTTTTTACTATTAGTTTAAGAAATAGCTTTAATTTGATTGAGGGTAATTTTGAATAATTCGGGAAAAAATTTAATTCAACAAATTTTAACTATTTTTACTAATTTTCTAATCTAAAAACATTTGTTAACAAGATTATATAAAAACAATTGGAGGGACCTATTTGGTTATTTGGAGAGAGAGACAAAAGAAAAAGAAATGAAATAGTAGATTTAGATTTTTATTCTCACTTTTTATTTTTTAAAAACTTTTTTTATAATTAATTTTCAGAATTATCAAGGGATTATTTATTAGAGTTAATCTGAAACACAAGTCAAAGGATTATTTATTCTTCGTCACCACGGAATCATTGAAGTTTGTGATCTAACATGAGGAAAAGTAATAACCATTAAAAAAAAATTGCAATATTAATCACTCTAAACTATAGTCATATTTATAAAGCAATTGAAAGAGAGATTTTGTGATCTCCTTGATAAGGTAGTATATTGATTATTTATTGCAAGTTTTTCACCTTACTCATATTTAATTTGACATAGGAAAGTTTTAAAAACTTTTTTTAACGTTTACTCTCTTCAGTTATATTTATAAGTCATTTTTATTAATCTCATTAATATCAATACAATAAAAATATAAAGATAAAAGTAAATAAATTTTTAAATATAATCCAAAAGGAAAAAAGCAAACAAATAAATAATATTATTTTTTGTCTTTCTCTCTTCTATTTTAAGGATAATTTAAAAATTTTAATTAAAACAAAACAATTTCATTAAATAATGACTTATAAAGTAGGCCAAATTATATTTGTAGAAGTTGACTAATATACATGATGTAGGAGTATTTAATATGGGCCAAGTAAAAAATTTATCTAAATTTTAGTCAAAATTAATAAGTTTAATTTTTTTTATATGTTAAAAAATATAAAAGTAATTTATAAATGATATCTCAGAGAGAGAGAGAGAGAGAGAGAGAGAGAGAGAGTTTGTATAATTATAGCCACACTATTAGAAAAAAATTAGTTGGCATCTCAAGCTAGCTTGCCCCCAACCTTTTGCCAAAAAAAAGGAAATTCCACCAGAACATATATCTAAGTAATTAACTAACTTTACTTTGAAGTTGAAGATAATTGTAATTAATCCACCAATAGCTTAAGGTTAAAAAAAATTGGTAACCTAATAGTATTCTTTCTGATCCTTACTATCAGTAGTTGTTAACAACTTCACATATATTAATGAGTTCAATTAAAGTTTTACTTTTATGTAGTGTTTGAATTAGTTTATTTGAATTTGGATTTTAAATTTAAAATCTCATCTAAAATTTTATACATTTAAATTTCTTTATTTAAACAGTAAACAAATTTTCAAATTCAAGACAATGAAGGAGGGAGATGGAAAATGAAAAAGAAGAAATGGACATCAAATAAATAATTATATGAAATTATAAAAGAATTATGATAAAAAATGTATTTGAATTTAAATCAAATCAAACTCTAAATCCGAATCTCCCCACATCTAAATTCAAAGTTTTTTTTAAGAATTACCTTAATAGAATTTATTTAAAAAAATTATGCATTAAACAATTAGCAAAATAATCTTTGGAATAGCAAAGATTATTGAAAAAAATAATCTAAATTTTTTATTTTGTTCCTACGGTTTGCTTGTGGCCTTATATATTAAAATGAAAAAAATGTTATTTTTGGTCCCTACATCTTATTTAATTTTTAGTGTAGCTCCTCATACTTTATTTTCCATGCTCCAAGTTCCTACATTTTTCTCTATTTGCAACATTAGGTCTTAATTTTAAAGAGATGTTAATGTAGTACAAACAATATTAATAATGTTAATATATCAATTACATTATTAATTTTATATTTACGTGTCAATTGATACTGACATGACATTTTTTTAATAAGTAAATATTCAAAAAAGGCTACATAAGATGAAATAGCAAGGCTAACATGGACTTTTTAAATGATCAACAAAACACACAAATTTTCATGCATAAGCTTTTCTTTTAAATTATTTCTTATTAAAAATTTATAGCTTAACATGTAAGTACCAAATAAATAATGTTAATTAACATGTCAGCATTATTAATATTAATTGTATTACATCAATATCTCTTTAAAAAATGTAGCGCGGATCAGTAGTACAGTAGAGTGTATGGACCTGAAATATAAAATAAATTAAGAATTTATAATAAATTTGAATAAAATGTAAGAATTAAAGTAATGTTTTTTCATTAAAAAACTATCAAAAAACTATTAAAAAACCACGTAGCTAAGACTTGGTAAAGTAAAATTTGACGAGTACCAAAGTAAAGAACCATAAAGACAAGCCGATTGGTGAAAACAAACTATGTAACAAGATAGACCAATTTGACAGAATGTAGGAGTTATAGTTATTGTTAAAGAAATGAAAATAACAAAAAACACAGAAAAACATACAACAAAAAAAAAGAAAAATTGTGTTTCAAGAAAATAACAGATAACCGTTTGAATAAAACTACACTAATTTGAAATGTAAAAGTAAGAGGAGGAAAATTAATTATGCGGCTATCAAAATTCGTACATTGTTGTTCCTCCTCGTAGATTCTTTGATTGTACACAAAAAAGTAAGCACTTAATTAATTCGACTCAACTCATCTCCTTATTACTATTGGAATTACGGTTTGGTGGCTTGCACTTAAAATAAATTACATTGTCCAATTCAATGTCAATTAGTTGTGTTCCTCCTCATCAATAATTGGATCACTAGGCCTATATGATAGTGCTCAATTTTTTTTAAGTTTTATATATCTCAACTCTTCGTTTAAAAATATAGAGCATTTTTTAAAAAAGTTAGATGTTTTAAAATATAAAACATTTTTAAATCTTTAAGGTATAATTATTGTCTTTTTCTTAAAAGTAATCCCTATTAATTATGACTTTATATTTATTGTAAAGTATTTATAGGATATATATTTATATAAAAATATTGGTTAGTTTGAAAGTAGGTAACTACTTTATTGAAAGGTGAGATTCAATTAAAAAATGCTTTATATTTTTAAAAGGAGGGAGTATATATGTAGACACCCGTTTTTAAGTTTTAAGCACTGCCTTGTAACTCCCACTATGAAAAAAAAAAGGAGAGAAATAGAGAGATAG